CTCAGGATTCAACCCATGATCCTCAAAGAAATTAATATGTAGATTTCCGCGAAGTCTATTTGATCAAACAAATACAAAAGGAAAGCGGCAATCAGACAAAGGAGGTGTGTAGATCAAACAAAAGGACCCAAAATCAAGAAGAAAAATTTTGGTTATCGTATGACCGTGGTATTTCTAAACCTCAAAAGTATCGCTTGATAGTTTATACGAAGAACCAAACAGTTTGGTTTTTGCGACGGCATTGGAACCAAAAGTGATATTTCATCACTTCAGTACTTGGATACAGCAAGCAGTTTGTCTTCTTAGTTACCTCGAAAAAACTGTGAATTACAAATAATAGTTTTGTCTAACTATTATAAAGCTTATTACAAGGAATAAAAATCTTTCTTTACGATAGAATAATACTTATTTTGTCGTTTTCAATAGGGAAAAACCAAAAACCCCAGCTTTCAAGACAAATCGGTGAATGGACAAGTGGCTTCAAATTTCTTCAGTTCTGAACTGTGTCCCTTCTGGCGTGTTACAAAATGCAGTCGTCCTTTTATTTTGTTTTTAAAACGCGTAACCTAGGTGGTACTATCCCTACTCCTCACTCCTTAATAATGTATTTTTAACTCGATTAGTCCGCATATTAAATGTTTCGCTGATGATTTCATCAGGAAAAGTAATTGACTAAGCTGGCTGATCGTCGTGCAGTTCCAAAGGAGGCATGCCAGGACTTAAAATCATTTGCTCTAATTTTAGCCCTTTGTGTTAACTAACAGTTCTTTAGGCCTCCCTTGCCATAAATGATAAAAATCTCTTTTTTGTTGGATAGGCTTACTGGCATTCGTTTTATCTGTGGGGCATTTATACACAAAGCTTTTGCATACGTTGCTCGTTCTAGATCTGTTTAAAGGAGTATTTTTCGTTGAAGTGGTGGCTAACAACAGTGCATTATTGCTGAATTTACTCGCTTTTCTAATTGATCCTTCAACTCCATCTGGAGCCATATCAGCTTATACTAATTTTTGTCCTACAATAAAGTTCTGGTATTTTCACTTAGCAAACGTTGATCGTCAGTAAAGTGAGGTTGCTAAACTGAATTTTGAGCTAGTGTTAATTTGAATTCCTAGAATCATCATTTATAACAAGTTCTCAGCAGTGTTGTGCTGCAAAAGTACGCCAAATAATAATTTGAACTCGTTGAGAAAGAATAGATCTCTCCCAAAAATCCAATAAAAATGACGTCTATCAAAATACCATAAAACTTTGTTCATTGTCAGCAACTTACACCAAAATGCTGCGCGCTTAAAACCGCAAAATCCATGTTACTAATCAATAGAATTAAGCGAGTGAAAGGCATCTGTTTTTCATTTATCCCCACATCCTTCGGATGGCGCAGCGTGTTGCAAAGTCGACCGAATAGATGTTGTATACCTATCTCCAACAATTGCTCCACAATCCTTAGACTGTTTTGTATCGCTGTGTTTCCATTGTTACCATGCTCAACGTCTGAAATATGAATTTATTCCAGAGAGCAAGTGGAAATCAGTCATATTCATCCCTGATCGACTACTCACCAAAATATCTACCACCATGATTTGCAGACGACATATCGAGTGACAACTAAGCCTCTACAAATTTTAACACTGCATCACGTAAGTTAGTTCCTAAACCGGATACTTTG